ATCCTATTGAAATTTAAAACTCATTCGCATCACTCTCACTGGAGATATTGAGAAAATGTTCCCCCAAATCCTAGTAAATAAAAATGACGTTGATTTCCAGAGAATCTTTTGGAGAGAAAATCCTGAAGAACCGCTTAAAGAATTCCGTCTTCTGACAGTTGCGTATGGCACTTCTTGTGCTCCATATTTGGCTATTCGGGCATTAAAACAGCTTGCCATAGAGGAACAAATGAGTTTTTCCAGAAGTTTCGAGAGTCGTACTGGAATATATCTATGTAGACGATGTTCTCACTGGAGCAAAATATTTAGTCTCACAAATTATCAAATTAATGAAGAAAGGCAGTTTTCCAATAAGAAAATGGGTATCTGATGAACCGTCAGTCATTGAATTTTCGCTCCAAGAACTAAGAAGCTGAATGGACTTTTGGCAGAGTGAAGAAAGTCAAATCCATACAATTCTAGGAATCATTTGGAATGCTAAAGAAGATGTATTCAGAATTAGAATAAACCCACCTATGAATGGTGTTTTAACAAAACGTCAACTGTGCGAAAATTTATGATCCCGTTGGGTTTTTATCACCTACGATTCGATTAAAAATCTTAATGCCGCATTTATGGAAGAAAAATATTGATGGGATGATTTATTATCTAATGATATTTCCCAAGCATGGAATCTCTTTAAATCTCAAATAGATCATTTAGCTGAAATCAAGATTTCACGATTCATGATAAAAAACAGTTCTATTAAAAATATTCAGTTAATTGGCTTTTGCGATGCATCTGAACATGCCTATGCTGCAGTGTTTTATCTAAGAACAATATTCTAAAATGGAACATTCCACGTTTCATTGATTACTTCAAAAAACAAAAGTTGCTCCTGAAAGACAATAAAATTGCCAAGACTCGAACTATGTGCAAGCACTTCTTCTTTCTAGACTATAAAAGTTGTTCCAACATCCTTAAGGAAGAATATTCACATTGATCAGACTATTTTATATTCAGACTCGAAAATAGTTTTAGATCATCTTCTCAAAGGTGGAAAATGTTTGTTGCTAATACAATATCAAACATTCAAGACTCAACTTCAGAAGCTTCATGGAATTACGTGAAAAGTCAAGAAAATCCAGCAGATTGTGTCTCCAAAGGTATTTCTGCATTAAAACTGAAAAGTCACACTTTGTGGTGGCATGGTCCTCAATGGTTGTATCAGCCTAATATGCTCCCTCTACCTAGAAATCCACAGGAAGCACGTGCAGATGATATCAGATGAAAAGAAATCACTTGTCTGTCAATATCACAATTTCAGATGCACCTGAAGTTACTGCTATGTAAGAAATTATTTCAAGATACTCATTGTTTTCAAAATGCATTAGAATAATTTCATGGTGTTGTTTTCCTTGATGAAGAGGGAATTATTAGAGTAGGAGGACGGTTAATAAACTTGAACTTAGATCACAATCAAAAACATCAAATTCTTATGCCAAAGAATCATCATTTCACTACTCCATTGATACAATATTTTCACAAAATGCATTTACATTGTGGTCCTCTACTTACTTTGTGTTGTATGTGTCAAAAGTATTGGACACCCTCTGAAAGAGATGCAGTGCGACAAATTCTATCTAAATGTATGACTTACCATCATGAGAGACTAGCCTTCTAGTAGATTTAGTGTTGGAACAGCATTTCTTAACGTTGGACTTGATTTTGGTGGACCATTCATTACAAATCGTACATTGCTTTTTATTTGCTTTGCCACTAAAGCAATTCATCTCGAGGTTGTTTCAGACTTATCAACAGATGCCTTTCCAGTGGCTTTAAGACAGTTTATCTACAAACGTAGTATTCTGATAACGCAATGATTTTCGAGGAGCAGCAACCTACATAAAAGACCAATCAGTGCTTCTCAATTCTGCTAAAATTCAAAACTTTGCAGCTCAAGAATATCAGCTATCCCACCTTCAGCTCCACATTTTGGAGGACTGTGGGAGACTGGAATCAAATCTGCGAAGCAACATTTATTGAAAGTTTGCAAGTCAGCTATCTTAACTTTTGAGGAATTTACCACTCTTGTAATGCAGATTGAAGCATGTGTAAATTCTAGGCCTTCTGACTCTTCTTCCTTCAGATCCTCAGGATTTAGAACTGCTTACTCCAGGACACTTTTTAATAGGTGCTCCTGTAACTTCCTTTCCTGAGAAATCTCTAATAAAGTTTCTTTTTGTAAAGTCAAGATGGCATCTGATTCAACAGCTTCATAATCAGTTTTGGTCAAGATGGCAGAAGAAATATCTGAATCAACTACAACTACGAGAAAAGTGGACTTTGCGTGCAAACAATATTTAAGTGAATGACTTGGTTTATCTCAAAGAGGATTCTCTTCCTCCTTTCAAGTGGAATCTTGGAAGAATCATAGAAGTTTTTCCTGGAAAAGGGGGAGTCATTCGAGTTTTTGAAGTAAAAACATCAACTGGACTTTGTCGACGTCCAATTTCCATATGCTGTCCTCTTCCTAAGTAGTCATTCCTGAACTTGAGTGTTCAGCCCAGGGTTGGGAGAACTGTGTTTATCCCTTAATTTATACTTTTCTATAGACGGCACTGCCTTTGTGCAAGATGCTTGATTCGTAATGTATTTTTTAATTTTGCCATGTGTTTGTGGCAACAGATTAAATAAAACTAAACGACTAGTATTCGATGCTAAGAAAGAATGAACTCATGCAAATAATTCTAACAGCTGATAAAGTCAAAATCTTATTCAATTCTTTGAGTCTCTTTACTGTGTCAAATTCAAATATTTCCAGGTAAGCTATTTAGTAATTATTGTTATTATAACAGAAAAATTAAGTGAAAATGTCCCAATTTATATCCAATTATATCTTAATAGAAAAACTGCCATTATGACTTAACGATTAATACTTATTCTGTCCAGGTTTTCAATTTACTTCACACCAGAAAATATTAATTTTATGTAAAATTTTTTAGTTAAGTAAATTAAACTGTTAGTATACAGAATCATAAAATATGTTTTATCAAAATAAAAATAATGCTCAATTTAAATTTCGTATACTCTCTATTTTATAAATAACAGTATCTGTTTCTGGACAGTGTCCTTTCTAGATCAATCTATACATGAGACTAATGATATGTTCAGTTTTAAAATTTCATTTAGCTAAATTTAGAACCTCTGGCCGATCATCCCGCGAATTCCAAGGGCAACTCAAACGTAGCAAAATTTGCTTATCCCGTGAGCATATGCTTTTCTTCCTTTATTGAGGAGCGCATCCTGTTCCCTGTTTAAGTATTGAAATAAATTATATACAGCATTAGGAATTTAGTTTACATTTTTGCCAACAGATATCGTTAGTTGTCCACTAAATTGCAGCATTTGATGGTACGTGGTATTAGCGCTCAAACTTCACTTTTTTCTTACAGAAATGGCTGCTAGAAAACCTACAGCAATTATCTTGATTATTTAATTAAATTATTGAATTATAAATTATATTAATAATTAAATTGATTATTAATTAGATTTATTTAATCTGGTGCAAAAACTGTGAAGTCGGACTATAAACTTTGAACCCCGTTTTGAACCCTATCATACTAAACTGCATTTCTACGGTATTTTCCCCTCAGCACTTTATATTTTCTTAATTATACATTTCACTTTTTTATATTATGCAATAAATAGAAATTAACTGTAATTCGACTGAAATTTATTTTAAAAAAAAGATTTTTTTGGGGATAACATCTGAAATTGGTTTTTTTTCTGGCAACTTAGTTTCTCATGATAAAAATCTAGGTAAAAAATATTTTCTAGAAAGAAAAAGTGCATTTTTTCAATTCTCCAATATATATATATTTAAAATATGCAAAAAATAAATAAATAAAAATAAATAAATTTGGAAGAGATTTCGGTCTACAAATTGAGCAGTCAGAGGGTTAACTCAAAATTTCACGAGTCAGAACTTTCTCTTAACGCATTTGCCGGTGTCTCACATGAGCGATCTTCTATCTCAAGTTATTTTATTTCTAATGCCGTCTCGAGATGGATTCTAGTAAAAATAAGCTGCATATTGGGGTTTTAACTGCACACCTTTGCTTCTACCTCTGTTCCCACCAAGGCCGTGCTTGCTGTTTTTCCTTCTACGGCAAAACATATCAAAAGCATCGCTATATTTGGGAACAGGCATGATTAATGTGCCTAGTATTCGTGGCTGTAACTTCCAAGCTTTTTCATTCTGGATGTACTAGGTATGCTTCAGCATCTTATCTGCATCACTCCCAAATCATCACATAGAGGTAAAGGCAATTTATTTTCATTTGACAGGAACAGACATTTGGTACATAGCAAATTAAAATTTTGGAAAAGTGATTTATTTTGATGGAAAAGTTTATTTCTTGTTTATGACTGAAATTAGCGTCGAGCATGGGAGTAAAATAAGTTTTATCTCCTACTCCATTAAAATTCTGTGTGTGCATGAAATTAACACCAATCTAAGGTTGATTTTTTGCCAATTAGCACTGGCATGCGTCCCTTTCATTTAAAAGTATATTAAATTTTTCCATAAGTATTTAAAATTTTTATTGATATTTTATAAATGACATAAATACAACATACTTCTTCTATAATTTAAAATACTTAATTATAATATAAAATACTTAATGATTAGAGTGAGATTATGAGGAGGGATCATATAAAATGTCAAACATATTTTTATAAAAATAAATTCCTTAATATCCAGACTACAAAATGAGATGAAAGAGAGGGATTTATTTTATTATATACAGCATAGAAATTTCTTTTTATTTTCTCTATCTTAAATTTTTTCTACGTTTTGCAAAACTTTGGAACCAAGCTTAGAATGTGTGTACAAAATTGACTTATTTTAACTTATGAATAAAATATAGAATCAGTTTTTTAAAGCATTTCATTTTTACACTAAAAATTCTTCAATTTTCTTTTATAAAATAAACATTTCTTGAAATTCTCACAAAGTGTATATAGCAAATGCTCTTTAATGCAAAATAAGTAAATAAATTACAGAGGATGAACTTTGTAGAAAAAGAGTAAACATATAAACACATGCCCTCAATGAATTTATTAAAATATGACTGATGAAAAGAAAATTTCATTGAAAAGCGACAGTATCCAGCATAGCACCTAAACATTGTACAATATTAGAATTCATCAAGGAGTCAACATGTTCTTCTAAGTGTCTCTTGGGATCCTAAGAAAGATTTAAATTTCATTTGGTTAAACTAAAGGAAAAAAATTCACTCAACAAAATGCACTCTTTTCAAATTAATTCAAATACATTTTAAAGTTTTATATTTTATGGAATAAATTTATACCTGTTTTCCAACATTTTTTATAGCAAGTTGTTCTGGTGTCATTTTATCTTCCTCTTCAAGCGACTGAAAACAAAATTTACAGATTCAATCAATAAATATTTATTCATAAATAATAAAGAATTTAAATTTGCTTCACCTAAGAAACTGTTTCCAAAACTTTTTATTATTGACATTTAAGCAATTCCTATTAAACATATTTAATGTGTAATTTTTGCAAAGATAAAAAGTAAGATTAATGAAATGATTTTAAAAATTCATATTTTTAATCTCTTATTTAAGTTAACTTGCAACATTTTAAATTGCATAAGTAATTTTTATTAAATGAATTACTAACAGTGTTCTTGGAAAATCTGCATGTCGTGCAATTTCTGATTTAAAACATCTTATGTAATTTTTGTTTAATAAAATTCTTAAATTTAAAAGGCATATTGAATTTGAGTTATAAATCTCAGTTTTCATTTGCTTTAGATTTTATACTAAAGCATTTGAGTCACTCTATATGTTTAATTCATAAAGTCAGCACAGTTTGGGTCACATACTCTTTTTTTCTTCAGTATAGAAAAATATGATAATCAAGCCAGCTGAAGTGTTAATTAAAATACAGACTGAAAAATGCAACCTTTAGAAAGTATTTACGATAGATAACTAATATAATATTTAGCAAGTTTATCTGAAGTATACATTGACATTCAACTCAGTGTTAATATTGCAGGAATTTAAAATCAACTGCAGTATTGCTGACACATTTATTAATATTAACCAAACATTGCTTTGCAAACCAATAAATGGTAAACAAGCAAAGACAGGAAAGAAAAAGATAAAGCAGAAGCATCTGGAGAAATTATTGTTCATTTAATTAACTACATCCTTTTTTTTTAATTTAGAAATTAATTCATTGCAGTTTTCAGTACCATGAAAATGAATACTTTTCTGTTTTACATGTAAGCTGTTTTCAAAAATACATATATTTACATACAGGTTGCAAATATAGAAAACAATTAGATAAATCTGTGGTACTGATATAGTTTCACTGACGTGTTAAAGTGTGTGTTGCATTTAAATCTGCAACAACTGCATTTTAAGCTTCTTCATTTTGGATTCACTATGTGTGCTTCAATATCTATCTGCATCATTTTTTAATTATAGCATTGACGTAAAGGCAGTTGATTTTCCTTTGGCATGAACAGGCATTTGTTACTTAGCAAATTAAAATTTTGGAAAAGTAATTAATTTTGATGGGAAAATTGCAGTTTACTGAAAGAAAATTGACCTATAGCTGGAATAATCAAATGTATTTTTTCTAGAAGGAAGAATGGTAACTGCAAATGTATATTACTTCTAAATAGATGTTGTTCATTAAAAAATCTAAAAATTATATATTTGATGGATTACTCTTTTATGAAATGCATACAGTAATTATAGATAAGCAATATTGCATAATGATAATACAAAATCACATTGATAACTCCAGCTGGTCAGTTTTAAAATATTATGTTACAATATTGCATGATCTGTATTTTTGCTGGACGTCATCTATTATTTTCTATCTTAATGAATAAGTGGGAAAAAACATTATTGGTTCTTATTAATTTAAACTCATAAAAATCTGGAAATTTTCTGTCTTTCCTTTTTTGGACTTTAGAGAAACTTATGAAGGTATATTCTTTGTTTTGACTCTTGCAATAATGAGAAATTGATTTTTGCATTTTCTTCTTTGTGTTATTTGTTGCAAAATGAATTTCAAAATTCAGATAAAGCTAATTTCATCACTAAAAGAAGAAATTTTTCATGTATTGAGGAAAATATTTTCAATCAATATATTCTGCATATGTAATTCCTTTTGGAGTATATCGCACAAGAAAATTTAAAATTCAAATTGGTCTGCATTCATATAACTAAGAACTGCCTAATGCTAACCCAAAACTTTGATTAGTTTTGTTTTTCCCTTTTAATAAACAATTTTATTTTCAAATGGAATCTTTCTATAATAAAGTTATCTATTGGATTTCTGAAATTCTGAACAAAATTTTAATAAATTTGTACCATTTTGTGCAATATAAACAGACAGATTTGTTTTAAGAATGACTGTTTAAAAAATTATTATTTTGGATATGGCACAAAAAATTATGATAATAAAATGATGGAAAATACTAAATATACAAGTCAACCCATAAATGTTTCAAAGATTTTGAGAAACTAACAAATTGTATGTCAGGAGCAAGTATCCTGCATTAAAGTACAGTTCAGGGAACTTTTTATTTTACTTACAGGGTACCTTTTCTTATCTATCCAAAATCAGCTAAAATAGGTGAAGTGTCTGGTGTACAAATATAGAAAAATAACACTTCTCTGACTCCTATGGAACCAATATTTTATTCCATACGATGTTATAGATTCTTATTCATAAGATTTATTTACATTTTACATGCACGTAGCATCACGTGACAAAAACTCGAAGTTTGTTTACTTTGTTCTTCGCGGAGACTAGAAGGTGTTGCCATTCCGCTTTAACTAAATTTAATTAGAAATGTAACGGAACTGAAGCGACACTACAATAGGATTTAGATCTTATGAAAGTTTCAGTTGGGTAAGGCCTTTTAGTAAAAGAATATTTATTCTTTTTGTTTGAGGTTTTGAGAAAATTCAGACTGTTTCATATGAGGTACTGTTGAAAAGAATTCACCAGGTAATGCTAAAGGAGTTCCGTATACAAGTTCTGCGGATGAGCAACCTAAGTCTTCCTTGATGGCAGATCTTATGCCTAAAAGAACAAAAGGCAATGCTTCCAGCCATGATTTTGATTCGAGTAGATGACATTTGAGACTTGCTTTTAAAAGTTCGGTGTTGTCTTTCGATCAGGCCATTTGCATGTGGATGGTACGCAGTTGTAGTGTTTGTATGAAAACCAAGATATTTTCCTAAAGCTTGAAAAAGTTGGCTATCAAATTGCCGACCTTGGTCAGATGTTATGCGATTCGGAATTCCAAAGCGTGAAAACCAAGTATAAATCAAAGCTTTAGCAATAGATTCTGCTGATTGATCTTCTAACGGTACCGCTTCGATCCATCGTGTATAACGATCGATGATGGTTAGAAGGTATTTGAATCCTTTGCAAGGAGGTAGCGGACGGACCCACCAGATCTATGTTTAAATGCTGGAATCTGTGTGGAGGTACTTTGAATTCTCCCAAAGATGAATGTGTATGTCTGTGAACTTTAGATCTTTGGCAAATAAACATGCTCTAGTCCATAGTTGGTAGTCTTTATTCATATTGGGCCATATGAAACGTCGTGTTATCAATTTTATCGTGGATCTTATTCCAGGATGAGATAAATTATGGATTGAAGAAAATATTTTCTGCCGAAACTTTGCAGGGATGTATGGTCGATTGTAATTTGTAGAAGTATCACAGTAAATTTTCTTGTCGCTGTCCGGTATAGGAATCTGCAGGATTTTTAAGTTTGGGTTGTTTTTAAGTATCTCCAAGTCGTCATCTTCTTGACAGTCTACTATAGTTTGTAAGTCTATTGCAGATGGTACAGAAATGGTGTCTATGCGAGAGAGAGCGTCAGCGACGGTATTTTCATGCCCTTGTATGAATCGGATATCGGTTGAGAACTGGCCAATACATGACAGTTGTCTAGCTTGTCGTGGCGAAGCTTTTTCCAAATTTTGTTGGAAGGCAAATGTTAGTGGTTTGTGATCCGTGTATATTGCAAAAGTTCGCCCTTCTAAGATGTATTTGAAATGTTTTACTGCTGTATAGATGGCTAAGAGTTCTCTGTCGTAGGCACTATATTTTTGTTGTGCTGATGTCAAATTTCGGGAAAAGAAACTTAAAGGTTGTTTTTCATTATTCACAATCTGATGTAAAACGGCTCCAATGGCAGTATCGGAAGCATCAGTTGTTAGCGATATTTCAGCCTTTTCGGATGGGTGAGTTAAGTTTGTGGCATGAATAAGTGCATCTTTTAAGATCTGGAAGGCGTTTCTTGTTTCTGCCGTCCAGGTTATTTCTTTTCTGCAGTTCTTTTTAATACCACTGAGCAATGTTGTTAAAGGTTGTTGCAGTTTTGCACAATTTGGTATGAATCTGTGATAAAAATTCACCATACCTAAAAATCGTCTTAAACTAGTAAATGACTTTGGTTCTGGGAAATTTTTGATGGCATCAACTTTCGTTGAGAAGAGGTTTAAGTCCTTCAGCTGACACTTCGTATCCCAGGAATGCAAGTTTTGCTTTGACCAAATTTACACTTTGCCGCATTAATACACAGGCCATATTCGTTTAGTCTCTCGAGGACTGCTCGTATATGTTTTCGATGAGTTTCTTCATCTGGGGAGGCTATTAGAATGTCATCCAAATAGCAAAACACGAATTCTAGTCCATTCAACACACTGTTCATGAAAACGTTGGAACGTTTGGGCCGCATTTCGTAGGCCGAACGTCATGAATGGGAACTCGAAATAAGCCAAAGGGAGTGAGAAATGGCCGTTTTCGGTATATCTTCTTCGCGAACCGGAATTTCTTGGTACAATCTAATGAGGTCTATGGATGAGAAAACTCTTTCTCCAGCTAAAATGGAACTGCAATCTGTTAAAAATGGGAGAGGGTATCTATCAGGAATCGTGACGTTGTTTAACGCTCGATAGTCTCCACAAGGTCTCCAATCACCTGATTTCTTCATAGCGAGATGTAGTGGGCTCGACCAGTTACTTTTGGATGGCCTGCATAAACCCATTTGGAGCATAAATTCAAACTCCTTTTTAGCCGCTTTAAGTTTCTCAGCTGATAGTCTCCTGGCTTTAGCTGGTGACTGGTGGAGAAAAACTGGTGGACCTCTGGTTTCGATATAATGTTCGATGTTATGATTTTTAACTTTATTATTAACTACATTCAATTTTAACAAATCCGGAAAATCGTTAATGATACGTTTATATGGATCATTTACGGCATTTAAAATCGGAATATTATTATTGTTATTTTGAAAACAAGGAGTTCCATTGGTTGTTAAGAATGTAGTACCATCAATCAACTTGCGATTTTTAGAATCTACCAAAAGGTTAAAATTTGCAAGAAAATCCATGCCTATTATCGGTTGTTTACGTCCGCAATTACAAAAGGCCATGTGAATGATCGTCTGAGTCCAAGATCAAGCTTGAGTAATTTTTGGCCATATGTTTTAATTTTCGTACCATTTGCAGCAAAGAGTTCTAATTTTGAGATGTTTTTTTTTATCTGCAAGGCAAGGGAGGAATGACAGAAATTTCTGCCCCAGTATCTATTAAAAATTGGGTAGCCGATTCTTTGTCGCTGATGAAAAGACGACTCAGCTGCACCCCTTGTCCCTCCGTCGTCAATGAGAGACGGGGAGCTGGTTTTCCGGACTATTTGTCTGTGATGTTTGATGAGTAGTTGCAGGGTTGTTTACACTTAAATGACTTATCACCGAATTTTTTATGATAGTAACAAATATCACTAGATCTGTTACCACTGTAACTCCTATCTCGTTGATTTGGATCGGTTACGACAATAGGGACGACTGTGGCGTTGCTTGTTTAAATAAAGCAGAAACTTGTAAGCTAAGTTCACTAACCTGTTTTTGTAAACTTTCAATCACTTCCGTTTTTACCGTTATGGATGATGCAGCAGCTATTTGGGGAGTAACAGGGTTTAATTCCCAAATCTTATCGGCCATTGTAGCCACTTTTGACAAATCTTCACTACTAACAGATATAATGCTACGCATATTAACGGGTAAACGTTGTAGCCACAATGTTTTTAGGAAAGTATCTGTTACTTTATCGCCAGCCAAATTACGCATCTCACACAGTAATTGAGATGGCTTTTTGTCACCCAGTTCTAACTCACTCAGTAATTTTTGGGTTTTTTGAGTCTCTGAATCAGCATATAATGAAATTAGTCTATTTTTAATTGCCTCATATTTATTATCTTGTGGTGGACTTAGCAGAATATCAGATACCTGTGACAAAAATATCAGGTTCAATGGAACTTATAACATAATCATATTTTGTTTGATCTGCACTAATTTTTGCATTTCTAAATTGTGCTTCTAGTTGAATAAACCATATTTTAGGATCTGGCTTCCAAAAAGGAGGAACTTTAACGCTTACCTTGGCGACAGATGCAGTTGTTGCTTTAATTTCGGTTTCGTCTTCGTCAGCCATTGTAGAATTCGATCACGCCGGGATACACCAGTGAAGTGTCTGGTGTACAAATATAGAAAAATAACACTTCTCTGACTCCTATGGAACCAATATTTTATTCCATACGATGTTATAGATTCTTATTCATAAGATTTATTTACATTTTACATGCACGTAGCATCACGTGACAAAAACTCGAAGTTTGTTTACTTTGTTCTTCGCGGAGACTAGAAGGTGTTGCCATTCCGCTTTAACTAAATTTAATTAGAAATGTAACGGAACTGAAGCGACACTACAATAGGATTTAGATCTTATGAAAGTTTCAGTTGGGTAAGGCCTTTTAGTAAAAGAATATTTATTTTATTGATTAATTAATGTAGTTAAAAATAACAATGATACTAAAATAAGATTCTGGAAATAGTTTTGTTAGATCCTGATAAATACATATCTTCAAAAAATTAAAATTTTCTTATAGTTAAATGCTTTAAAACATGCATGTGGAAAATTTTAATCTAAAGAGTAATATGAAAGTCTGCTTTGTAGGACACAGTTTAAAAGACATTTAAAAACAATTATTATCAACAATTATGTTAATACAATTTGCTGATTTAACTTAACCTTACAATGAATAAATATAAACTATTCATTATCCAAGAAATACCTTTATTTATATAATACAGTCAAAAGTCATTAATTCGGACACCCATAATCCGGAATGATCTATAATCCGGACCTCAAAGCTAAAAACTTTCTGCGCATAGGCGTTTACGCGTGCGCGTAAGACCTTTACGGCTGCGAATATACATGTGCGCATGCACATAATACGTTTACGCATGCGCATTTAATGTAAAACAGACAGTATAAGCTAAAACTATCTAATTATTTATTTCAGTTAATGTTGCAGATTGCGTTGTTCCTTAATTTTCGAATTGGATCCGGCTTATTAATTTTTGCAGACTGTTAGAGCAATTTTATAAAAGTAAGCTTGAACTTTGGATTATGTCAAATACATTTTCCGATGCTGGAGCTCCCAAAGGATCTACAAAGCGAAAGTATGTTTCAATGTCCATCAAACAAAAAAAGGAATTGCTGCAAAAAATGGATAAAGGCATATATCCTTTGATTATCTAATCATTCTGAAATATGTTTATCAATTTCACGCTGCTCTGCGGGGGCAGGGAAACGACACGGCGCACGCCCAATGAATTAGAAGTTGATCTGTCAGCACTATCTTCAGAGCAGATGTTTTTATTTTATGTGGCTTTTAATTCTTTACTAAATGTAGTATTTCATCTCGATGTACTCAGTCTTTGATATGATTTAAATCAAGTTCCTCCTCATTATAATTTGCTTCCGATAGTGAAGAAAGTGACTCAGAGGTTATTGAAAACGAAAAAATTTCGATTGACAAATTAGCCGATATTCTCGACAGCAATTATAGGACTTGAACAGTGGAACTTTGTAAGTAAACAAGAAATTATGTCTGTTTAATAGAATTAAAGAGAAAGTATTATCACATGAAACGAAGCAAATTAAACAACTTACATTGAAAGAAATGTTTAATAAAGTAAACAAATAAATATTTAGCTTTTTCTTTTTGCAAATTTTGATACCCTTTAGATCATAATTGCTGTTTATTTCATAAATTACGGTTTCATATTTTTAATTTTATAATTTCTGCATGCCATCTTACCAGATTTAAACTGATGATCTATAATCCGGAAAAATCGATAATCCGGAATTGCCGAAGTCCCGACGAGTCCGGATTAACGACTTTTGACTGTAGTAACTAAAAAATTTTCAAATATGCCTGAAAAATTCATGAATAAAGATGTTTACCTTATTGTAAGCCTTTGCGAGTTCCAACATTTCTGTAACAGTTTTTTCATTGATGACTGAATGTTCATTATAATCTTGTAACATCAAGCCATCCATCCAGCTCTTTTTATGAAGATTCAAAAGCATCTGTACAATATTACAATGACTCAATACTTTATTATCTGACCAATATAAATAATTACTAATCAATGTATTAAATTTTAAAAGTAAGCAAAAAAGCAATGTTAATATGGTCACAGATTTTTGAAAACCTTATCACGTTTGAATAAACTGTCAACAAATTAGACTCAAAGGAATCCCTTAAATCTTAAGAAACATGATATTTCAATACTTATGTACTTTCTCAATGACCATTTTTAACAAACAAAAACAGTGCTACTTGATACCAATAACAGGCAAGCATGATGTCACAACACACTTGGATATTCCCTTTGGTTTTATGTAACCAGAGTAAGGCATTTTAGTTTTTATCAAACTTTTGATAGATTCAGTGGCAGGATCACTGGCAACACCTTCAAAAATTATGGTAAAATCAAATAAGAACCCATATTTCTTCAGTTATTTAGCACAACTTTTTTACAAATACTGTGAATATCAGAATGCATCTCAGAATCACAGATTTTCTCTTATTAGTAACTGTTCTAAAATAATGCTTCCCAATTACTAATTTAAACAGGAATATTATTGATGTTACTAAATATAAATAAAGTTAACAATTAAAATATTTTTTCCTAGATGTATTTTGCTATTTGATATGCTTCAAATCAAGGAGATTATGAAATGTAATTACTATTTTACATTTCGTCTATCTCTATGCTTTCTAATAAACTGCCTTTTCTGATTTTCAAATAATTTTTATCACATTTTAGAAACAAATAAATGATACAAAACACATTAAGAAAACTATTTTCATTTTTTAAAGTGTAAAGGTTTTGGTGTGGCTTAGTGTTGGTGTCTACAAGTTATGACTCAATGTTACTCAATCAACTTTAACTAACACTAACTTATTTGTTATAAACACCGAAGCTACTACATGATATTCCAACTTTATACAGTAGATGGTAAAAACTATGTGGCAGTTATTGCAAAACTATGAGACGTCAGCTAATGGCATATACAGCCGAGTGTGAGATAACCACAACATATCCACCAATGACTTAGTCATGAAGCAAAAAAAAAAAGGTTGATTACAAGGAATTCCAAAATATCAATAAAAGATATACATATTATAATAAGAGTTATACATTAAAATATACACTGAAATGTACATATAAAATAAAATACAAGATATGCAAGTAATAATACAACATGTAATAATAACTGAAATATATAACTATAAATGCATGCTGAATATGTAATATAACAAATGCATGTGTAATATGTAACAATACAAATGTAAATGAAGAGTTAGTAAAATAAGAATTTGACAGTTTTCAAATATATATAAATAGATATGTGGGAAAAAAACTGTAAAGTATTCATAAACTGTAACTTTTATAACAGATGAACAAAAGAAAAATATTCAATTACATTATACAGATTAGTCTTTTGGAAAAATTTGGAACAATCTTTGATTCTTTAAAGACTTTGATGTGAAATCTCAGAAATTACATGTGTATCTGTGTGTTCCAATAGAGTTGGAACAAGTTAAACATAATTGATACTTAGAAATACATAAGAACAAGTTTAGAATGCTGGGTGTACACATAAACTGATAGCTGAACATGTTTAGAGGTTGCAGTTGGTTTCAATGAATGCATGACGGATCAAAATTGTGAAACATGGGATTCAGAGAGAGGTACAGAATTATTAACATTCAGCATATTTGAGGGTAATATACAGTGGATGGACAAAAATATGGAAACACCTTGTGAAATGCATGTTTGAAAAGAAAGATTGATTTTAATGAAATATGTACGTGGCGCTGGCGATTTTGACTACTGATGCCACCTATACAACTTCGTAAATGTGCTAAACAGTTCAGTTGTTGTCGGAGTACAACAACTGTAGTAGTTATGTGAGGTTGTCATTGCATTATGTCAGAGTTAACAGACTTTGAACGTGGGCAAATTGTTGGAGCACGTATGGTAGGTGCTTCCGTAAGCAAGGTAGCCAAGGTGTTTAGTGTTTCAAGAGGTACTGTAGCGAAGATTTATTCCGCATATTTGAAAAGCGGAAAAACATCATCTACTAAATCACAGCGCGGACAAAAGTGTGTCCTGAGTGATCGTGACAGACGATCATTAAGGGCAATTGTGACGAAAAATAAGAAGACCACAGCTGCAAAAGTTACTGCTGAAATAAATGCTGTGTTACTGAACCCTGTGAGTACCAAAACAATTAGAAGGGAGCTTCATAAACCAAAGTATACCAAAACAATTAGAAGGGAGCTTCATAAACAGGGAATTGCTGGCCGTGCTGCAATTGAGAAGCCACTCATCAGTGATGCTAATGCTCGTAACAGAAAAAGGTGGTGTAGCCTGGACTATAGAGCAGTGGAAGCAAGTAATACGGTCTGACGAGTCTTCTTTCACATTGTTTCCCCACTTCTGGCCAAGTTTACGTCTGGAGAACGCCATCTCAAGCCTATAATACAGACTGCTTGTTGCCAAGAGTGAAACATGGCGGGGGTTCTGTTATGGTTTGGGCAGCCATATCGTGGTTCTCTGCTAGCCCCATGATAACTGTGTCAGGGCACATGACTGCCAAGAGTTATGTGAACATTTTGGCCGATCAAGTTCATCCCATGGTACAAACTTTGTTTCCCCGATGGTGATGGTGTCTTCCAAGACGACAAAGCCCCTGTTCACACAGCTCACATTGTCCAGGACTGGTTTTCTGAGCACGAGGATGAGTTGTCCCATCTCCCCTGGCCACCACAGCCACCAGACCTGAATATTATCGAACCTTTGTGGTCTACATTGGAACGGAAAGTGCGTTCTCGTTATCCACCGCCAACATCGTTATCTGAACTTGCCATCGTTTTGCAGGAAGAATGGTATAATATTCCCTTGGCAAACATACAGGAACTGTACTGATCCATTCCGAGAAGACTGCAAGCTGTTTTGGATGCCAACGGGTTTCCTACACCATATTAAGCAAAGAAACATGTTTTTTTAAAGGTGTTTCCATATTTTTGTCCAACCTCTGTATGAATGGCACCACAAATAAGTTCAGGACAGCTAGCATGTATATTGTTTATGGCAGATCATAACCCAACAAAACTACTTGTTGAATTTCAGTTCATTTTGTGTTGTTATGAACCATTTTTGCACAGTAGTTGATGAAATCTTTCAATCAGCCTACTAGCCTGAGGATGGTAAGCAACAGTTTGAATGCAGTGTGCATCCAAAATCATCATCAAATCCTTAAACACGCAAGATTCAAAATTTCAGCCTTGATTGGTTGTAATTGACATGGGACAGCCAAATCTGGCAATCCAATTGTGTACTAATGCTTTAATAAGTAATATAAGCAGAAATGTCAGCACAAGTTCTGGCCTTTAATAATGGTCATGCAATAACTGTTAACTTCAGATGATGGAAAAGTACATATGAAATCAACAAGAATATGTGAAAATCTTGCATCAAGCGTTGGCATTCAGGCAAGATTAAAGGCATTTTTAATAAATTTCTTCATATTAGGCAAAAATATCACTTAGTGACCATTTCTGTTGAGGCTAAAATGCTCGCATGAGGAAGACAGTGGGTCTGCTAAAAAATTCTGGAGCAGAATGAATGGATGAAGTGTACCTGTATCCATAATTACACTAATATCACTTAGTGACTTAGTGACTAAAAATATCACTTAGTGACCATTTCTGTTGAGGCTAAAATGCTCGCATGAGGAAGACAGTGGGTCTGCTAAAAAATTCTGGAGCAGAATGAATGGATGAAGTGTACCTGTATCCATAATTACACTAAAAGTTAACATCTAAAGGAAAATAATGTTCATCTAATTTAAAAACTAATGAAGAGTGAGAGACAGAATTCTGAATTTCAGAGTCCTGAAGTTGCATTTCAGATAACTTTTTATAATCAATAAGTTGATTATCAGAAAACTGCATGTATTTCTACCTTGGATAAGGCATCAGCAACTGATAACGATGTTTATTTTGCATTTGGTAGATCAATGTATGTTTATTGTACGCTCACACCAAATCTGGCGCTATTTGGCGTCCATAAGATTTGAAGCTGAGCAAGTCTATGTACAAGTTGTTCATGTTGTGTTGTGCTGTCAATAAATGTAGTCTTGTGTTAAAGTGTGTATCTCTACCACTTAGTTTTTTCCCTGGTTCTACTTAACATTTTATGGTGTCAGAAGTGGAATGTAAGAGTATTATCCGAGAATATTACCAAAGACTTTGTGGTAAAAATCTGTTGTGAAGGAAGGCAGTGAAGATGGAAAATTGATAGTTGGGGGTGGCAGATTGTTTGAGGTGTGTTGGTTAGTTTCATTTCAATTTGTAAAAGTTGAAATGATGTATTGTGTATTGTAGAAATGTTTGGATAGTTAGGGAGATGCTAGGATTTGAAGTAGTTTCAAGAGTAGGTCTGTATTTTTAATAACTGGAGCTAGAATACTGTTGTATGTATTATATATTTAAGTTGTTTTTTTAATGTATATGGTTGTTGTACATTGAATTACAAGTGTTATTTTGAATAGAGTAACATTGTTCATAATAAAATAAGAGCCTTGTACATAATAAAATAAGAGAAAATTGAGAGTTGAAGGTGGCAGATTGTTTGAGGTGTGTTGGTTAGTTTCGTTTCAATTTGTCAAAGTTGAAATGATGTATTGTGTGTTGTAGAAATGTTTGGATAGTTAGGGAGATGTTAGGATTTGAAGTAGTTTCAAGAGTAGGTCTGTATTTTTAATAATTGGAGCTAGAATACTGTTGTATGTGTTATATATTTAAGTTGTTTTTTTAATGTATATGGTTGTTGTACATTGAATTACAAGTGTTATTTTGAATAGAGTAACATTGTTCATAATAAAATAAGAGAAAATTGAGAGTTGAAGGTGGCAGATTGTTTGAGGTGTGTTGGTTAGTTTCGTTTCAATTTGTCAAAGTTGAAATGACGTATTGTGTGTTGTAGAAATGTTTGGATAGTTAGGGAGATGTT